GCTGTGGCGGAGCTGCCCCGGGAGGGCTCCGGCCCGGCCCGCGTCGCGGCGCAGGGACAGACGGGCCCCGATCCCGGCGCAGCCCCGTGGCAGGAGGGGAGGAGGACGAGCGCGACCCCGACCGCAACAGCAGACCACTGAGCGAACAAGGAGGCCGGGTCCGTCACGCGGCTCCGCAGTGCCCACAGCCGAGCTTCCCGCGCCGCTAAGCCCCCCACTCACCGCTGCCATCTTCCCGCTGCTGGCCTCTCGCACTCTTTTGGAGGAACCCTCAGCACCTGGGGTGATAGCGCGAAAAAACGCGACAGCAGGGGGACCACGTAAACCCAACGTCCCCGGGGATCAGAAGGTACAGTCACATCCACAGCGCCTGCGCAGTGAGTCTGCCTAGGTCCAGCGACGATGCTGACTGGACAGTTTAATGGCCCCGCCCCTTTGGAGCTGAATGACAGCAGAGTGGGCAAGCAAAGGGTCAGCGAGAAATGGCTTCTGCTCTGGTTTCTACTTGTCAGGACCCTTAAATTTTAACGGGATTCACGCTCTTCCGCCTCATCCCACTGCAGTGATTGCATGTGAAAACACGAGTGCAGTTGTGCTGGTGTGTGTGCTTGTAAGTGTGCGTGTGTGTGCATGTGAGTGTGGGTTACTGAGAACCAACAGGCACAGTAATCAAAGGCTCCTATACCTCAGCTTCACCTTCAGGCCCCGAGGACATTTTTAACTTTTTTTTTTTCCTGTAGGGCTAAGTAGCTCCTTAGTGTAAAACTAATTTCCAGAACTTTGTAAGACTGGAAAGACCTTTTAAGCTGCCTATACAGACCATACTCATAGGTAAAATAAATCAGATCCGCGTGTGTAAACATCGTATTGTCTCCCTAGCATAAGAAAAGAGTAAATAAAATCCAAAAGATACAACAGATATTGTGAAAAGGAAAGAAACTGCTCAAAAGGAAAGATGAACTGGGATGGGGGAAAGGAGAAAAGAAAGGAAGAAGGGGGGAGAGTTATATATATTATTTATATATATTATGTAATATTATATATTTTATGTATAAAAGATAGCTAAGATAATTGTACTACTAATCTCTATTGGTTTACCAGTTCATGCCTAATTGTTCAATTTTGCGCGTCTATATCTGGCAATTTGAATAACTCCTTTGAAGATAACATTATGCAATGTAGCAACCATTGCTAATTTCCTATCATCTTGTGTTGAAATTCTGTATCTTTTTACAGTTTTTTAAAAATTCTCTTTAAAATAAAAAAAAAAGCTGCCCATTCCTGATAGGGGAGATGTAGCTCTGTGGTAGAACTCTAGCCTAGAATGCTTGAAGTCCTGGATTCTCATTTCAATATAGCAGAAAACTTTCTGTTGTGAATTCTACTCAACCTCTACATGCCCAGTTTTTCTTTCTGACTCTGATTTCGACTATCGTGCTTCATATAAGTGAAACAGTATTGTACTTGAACTTTTCTGTCTGGCTTATTCCACTTAGCACACTATCCTCTCAAACTGCAAATGTCACCAGGGAAGTGTCCAAACATTCTTTTTCTTAATGCTGAGAATTTAACACAGGACCTTGCTCATGCTAGGCATGAGTTCTGCCAGTACCGAGCAACATCATCAGCTTGGATTTAGTTTTTATTATTTCCATACAAAGCATCTCAAACTTGTCCAGAAATGCCTCAAACTTGAAATCTTCCTGCTTTGGTCTGTTGAGATGATTATGGATATCTGCCACAGTGCCTGCAAAAATGCAATAAAATCTTAATTTGTGAGTGTAATTCATACCTAAGTCATGTTTATAATCCATAGCATTTGTGTGTCAAAGTGAATTTCCACATAAGAAATAATGAAACCTCAGATGATTCCTTCCACAGCCTCAAAATATTCATATAAAAAGATTATAATACTGTAATATAATATAAAACAACAAAAAAAACCCAAAATATAGGTAAAAATAAACAAATTATCCTTACCTTTGAAAGCCTTCATGGCTGGTACTAGGGAGACAATAGAGAGGAAGATTATTGTGTAAGATGAATTTCATTATCACTAATGGAATTACAACTGTCTATTGGCTCAATGAAATCTTTTTCTTTTATTTTCCTTTTAACAGGGAACCTGTCCAGTGGTACTTGCTTTTGCCTTCTTTTGAGAATTTCACAGAAATGTGACATTGAATTATGGTTAAGCAGATTCACCATTTGTACTTCTACAACCTTATTTGGGTTGCGCCTTTCTACAAAATTTTGTACTCTGTCTCATATTTTACACATCTCCCTAACCTGAGATTTTCCTCGTTTTGTGGAACACTCATAGAACATGTTACTCAGTACCCAAGGTTATATTGTACTTGGCTTTTTAAATGTTATTTCTTTCAACAACCACACTATCAATGGTCCCAACAATACAGGCACTTTCTTTTTGGCTAATCTGCTTATTTTTCAAATTATTTATTTTGACTTTTTCCCTTAATTCTTACTGTAGATATCATGAAAGAAATTAGCATGTGACAGTCTAAATTTTGGTCTGGCTGGAAATTTCCTCTACTAGATAATTTAGTCAAGAATGTTTAAATTCAGCATCAAAGTCTAAAGATGTTGGCCAATTGTAGAAAAAGTGTTTGCCAAAATGAAATATGCATGGCCTATAGTAAAATTGCCAGTGGAGTCCTTCTTTTCTTGTTCCTGACTTTTGGGGGAAAGCTTTCATCTTTTCTCCATTTAACATGATATCAGCAATAGTTTTGTTAAAATGGCTTCTGTTGGACTAATATAAAATCCTTCTATACCCATTTTATTCGGGTTTTTATCATGAATGAATGCTGGATTTTGTCAGTGCTTCTTTTTCCGCGTGGATTGATATTTTCATTTCATTTTTATCTTTGTTTCTTTTTATTGGTGTATCACATTTATTGGTTTGGATATGTTGAGCCAATCTTACTTCCTTGGAATGAAGACTATTTGATCATGATGTATTATATTTTTGATGATTTGTTGCATTCTGTTTGCCAGAATATTGAGGTTTTATTCTCTATGCTCATTAAATAGATTGGCCTATAGATTTCTTTTTTAGTTAGGTCCTTATCTGGTTTTGGAATCAAGGTAATGCTAGCTTGAATGAATGAGAAATTACTCCTTCCCTATCACTTCCATTAAAGAAATTGAGGTATATTGGTGTTGTTTCCCCCTGTTGGACTGTTCATGGTTTTCATATCTTCTTCATTTAGTTTAGGTAATTCATACATGTCTAGGAATCTGTCCATTTTTTACAGATTCTCCACTTGTTGGAGTATGATTTTTAAAACTTGTTACTAATAATCTTGTGGATATTGGTGGTGTCTGTTGTAATTTTGTTGTTCACTTCCTAACTGCACTGACACTCTTTTATTTTTTCATAAGTTTGTCTAAGGGATTTTGTTTCTTCTTTTTAAAGAATCAATTTTTTAATTCTTTTTTTATGTTTTAAGTCTTGGTTTTATTAATTTCCACTTTAATCATTAGCATTTCCTTCCTTGTACTTGATTTGAATTTAGACTGTTGCTGTTTCTCTAAGCCCCTGAGGTGCATCAGTAGATTATTTGTTTGGTTTTTCTCTATGTTTTATAATGTAAGCTTTCCCAGCAAAATTTGCCTCTTAGAATGGCATTCATTGTTTCTCATGGGTTCTTATACGTGATGCTGGCATTATTGTTCTATTTCACATTTTCTAACATTTCTTTGCATGTTTTTTTCTGTGACTAATGGGTTGTTCAAAAGTGTGTTATTTAATTTCCAGGTTTTTGCAAAATTTATGTGGTTTCTTTGGCTATTAATTTCTAGTTTCATTGCAAAATGATCTGATCATATACTTAGGGTAATTTCCATTCTTTTGTATTTATTTAAGTTCTATGAGCTATTATATGATCTATTTTGGACAATGTTTCACGCTGTACTGTGAAGAATGCAAATTTTATGGTAGTAAGGAAGAAAATTAGATATCTAATCAAACTCTTAAAAGCTATAGTTTGTTCTTTTTTGTTGTTGTTCTTGTTATCATTGTTGAATTTTTGTCTAGTTGATCTATTTGTAGGACTGTGGTATTGAGGTTCCCCACTATTATTGTGTTGATGTTTATATTATCTTTTGTGTCCAGTAGAGTTTCTTTAATGAAGATTTAGTAATGGTATTTGATGCATATATATTTATAATTATATAATCCTCTTGAATTATTCCTTAACTAATATAGAGTGACCTTCTTTGCTTTTCCTGATCTGTTTTGGTTTGAAGTCCACTTTGAATATAAAATATCTCCTTCTGCTTGTTTTTGGGGTCCTGTTGCATGAAATAATGTTCTCCATCCTTTTGGTTTTTAGCGCATGTTTAATTAAATGTTTCTTTTTTATGTAGACCACTGTTGAGTTCTATTTTTCAATTCATTGTGCCAATGTGTCTTTTTTGATTGGAGAATTGAGATCAATACATTAAATTATCACAATGTTATGGACTTATTTCTGTTATTGATTCCTTTAATTTTCCTGTATATTCAACTATTCATCCTGCCTCTGTATAAATTCCACAAAATTTTGGTGGTGTTGTTTTCATTGTCTCTTTCTAGAATATGCTTGAGAATTTTTTCAGTGCTGGTGAATATCTTAAGGTGCTCTTTTTTTTATAGAAAGACTCTATAAATTTTGAAAGATAATTTTCCAGGATATATTATCAGTCAGAGGTGGCAGTTGTATTTAGTTTGTGGCTCAAATCTTAAGTTTTTATCTATGTATTACCTTTTGTAATATACTGAGTCCAGGTTCATGTTCTCTGAAAACTCCCTTGATCTCCAAAGTCAAATGTGTGTCCACATGTATTCACAGACAAGCACACTCCCTGCTTTAAAATATATTACATGCCATGTTACTCTGGTGTTCTGCTAATGTCATACTGTTCTCAATTTCAGATCATACTACTTAAAATGAATGGCTATCAGGTAAGCTGTCTATATCATGCTATTGTTCACTGAATGAATGTGTGACTGGTACCCAGAAATTCTATTTTGTGACTCTCCCATATACATGTAATATTGCGACTCAATTTTGGCATGGCCATTTTTGACCCTGTATTTAGAAAAATTTCTTATAAACATGTTCAGTAAGCAAACTGGAATATTAAATGGCCCTGAGGGGAGAAATGTTCTAATAAACATCTGTGCCCCCTGACAGACTGTAATAAAAAACAAGCTTTCTGTTTCTGGTCTTATTCCAACACTAATTATACCAATTTCAGAACTAACAAAAATAATAAAGGTGAAAAGAAAATACATCAAAGAAAAAGTAAATATCATCATTTTTATGCTAAGACACAAATTGAGTATCTCTATAAGAAAAGTGTGCAG